TTGAAAAAGCTGAAAATCAGACAATGCCTAACAATTTCACTTTTCATTGTCATTTGGTTCTCCAAGGGGAAAAAAATTCTCCATCACCAAAGAACCGTTCCCTCGGATTTCTAAATTGACTTTTGCGGCTATGTTTACATGTTAAACCAATCGAAATCGATATAATCTCACCCGCGGGGCGATTATTGAAATGTCATCGACTCTATGTCGCCGCTTACGACAAGACATAGCCCTATCTTAACCGTGTAATATATCGCAATTCGATGTCTTATCGGGCTGGTTTAAATTTCAATAATCGGCCCGCTGTTTTCTGTATCGAATACGATCTATAGATACTATATTCCGCGCGCATCGATGCAACCCGCACAACAGTCAGGACCAGATCCATGGAAAGCGGATTCAAGTTCGGTTCCCGGAGTTTCCTCGTTTTTTTCGCGCCGCATCTCCGGTGACGAGAGAGGGAATATCGATCAGGCCCTCGATACCGATTGGCTATGACAGACGTTAGTGGCAGTCAATCACAGCGAGCGCGCTCGAGCGGCCAGCCGCGCGCGCTCCCCTGCACTCCCGTGCGTGGATATGTGGGCCACTCACCTCAGCAGTCTGAATTTATTTATACCAGCGGGTCGCGCGTCCACTTGCACTCGGCTTTATTTTTAAACGCCCCGGCCCCCGGCTCGCGGCGAGGAAATCCCGCGAAACGACGCGGAGGGCTTGAGGTTTTTCACCGAGGCAACTCGGATATGAGCTATTGCGGTCTCTGCCGCCCCGAGATTCCCTACCGGATATTATATCGTTATACACTGAAAAAAAGCCGCGCTTACGTCACGTTTCGGGCTCAGAGCCTGAAAGTTCCGAGCGTAACACCTAAATATGCAAGCAATCTCTTGAACTGACATAAGATCTCCTTGTGTGGATTTTTCTAATATAATAACATTTTGAATAAAAAGTTGTTGGTTAATAATCTCACGGAGGATTCAAGTTCATTGTCAGTTGAATGAAAGTAAGGAAAAATACTAAAGAACAATGCATGTGTTCTTTCTTTCAAAAAAACAAAATAGGATCGGAATTCGTCGCACTTCTGGCGTAAGAGCATATCTAAATTTCCACGTGAGCCCTGTTACGAATATGAACCCATACTTTCTGGGGCTCAGAGGGAAATCGAGGTACGCCTTTTCATCAGAGGTGCGACGAATTATGCAACCGCGCAAATTTAGATAACCGTAATAAATCTGATAACCGCTTATCACCATCATCGATATGTTGGTGGCTGGCCAAGGTTTGACGCTATAAATCTGCATTACGTAGCATATTTTCCTTAAATGTGCAATTCCCTGCAAAATGAGTGTGAGGTGAATACTGCAGATTTATGGCATTGCTTTGGCCATTCAACATTTTTTTCCAGGATCGCTCATGAAAATCTCTGGAGGGCGTCGTTGAAGCGAGGCTTTGAGTGCTTTTGCGCCCTTTGCTATGAAATTTGGCATTTTATGACAATGTTTTGAATTATTGATACGTTGGAAACTTTTCAAAGTTTCTCGAGAGCTACGAAAAGAAAGAAGAACAGTGACGAAGTACATTTCTAATCTTGTTTATTTAGCGTTTTTTCCGAAGCAAATGCACTTTGGCTTTTGCAGTCCAGAGATCATCAATGTCTCGATCGACTATGAAATCGTTCGAGAGAGGCTGTAGAGTCATTTCAGGCGTCAAGATTTACTGCCGAAATATTTATTTTTAAATCAGGAAACTTCCATTTAAAGGTTTCCTGTGATGAAACTCCGGTTGTTTCAACACTATTTATAGTTGTTTATAACGAAATAGAAGAGCGGATGTCCAATAAGTTTGAAATGGACTCCCTCACAATACAACTGAAATTGTTTGTGAAATTCTTTTGCAATGAATACTGAATGTAGGATCAACCCCATTTGATTCAAAACTAAATTTAATATATATTTTCAAAAAGCTACACACAGTTTTTCTGAAAATTTTCCGCGAATTTACCTAAATGATCTCCAATAAAAGTATCGAAAATTCCGACGCGATGTTTTCGTTCGTTCTATTTTCTTTCAATGTAGCCAAAACAAAATTAAATATCATCTAGTTTATGAATCGTTACAACGAGGATACATATCTCCCCTTTAATTATGGTACAAACTAGAACAGAAAGTCAAAAATGATGACTCGCAGTCCAACAGCATTCCTATACATTCTTGTAGGCGATGATATGCATTTCAAGCCAACTGACTGACTGCACTACGTTTGGCGCAATGCGAGAAGTATTCATGCAGTCTTGTAGGCGCCGATATGGGCTGCACGCCGACCGCACTGTTTGGCGCAATGCGTGAAGTATTCCTACAGTCTTGCAGGCGCTAATATACGTTTAACGCCGGCTGCACTGTTTGGCGCGATTATCCGAACTCCCGTTACAATAATCGCGGCATCGAATATTAGAACTCAAAGGGCCCATGTTGTATTTAGACGCCGCATAAGCATTTCAACGTTGCCTCGTTTCTCCCGGGTAAATATTTTTTCCCGAGAAAAGTTAGGTAAATTCATTAAACCCTCGACCAATATTCAATCATATCACTTCATTTATCATCAGATTGTAAGACATCCATGATTTTTCAACAAACTAACTTAAACTAACGTAACATAATAATGCATTTATTTTCCAATTGTTTCCTGCTTTGCCAAACTTCTACCTTAAATTAACTTCATTTTAAAATTTGCGCATTCCTGTAGCAGATGTTAAGGTTTCTATTCGCGCAATCCTTCTGCCTTTTTCGCACAATCCTCAAATATTTTCCGAGACCTTTCGCGCAATTCTGGATTACCGCTCTTTTTGAAATAGCCGGAATTCTTTCCTGAGGAATATTCAATGGAGACCCATAGCTCCATTTAATTCAGAGATACATTTTCTTGGTGTGTACTTAGAGGGGTTTTTCCCCTTTGCATGGAGACTGAGGAGTTCTACCACCCAAATCGACGCGCCCTCAAAAAGAAGAAGATAAAACTGAAAAAAAGAAATATGGCGCGTGTCTCACGGGCTGTCGCTGGAGCAAATTGAATCAATCAGCGGCATTTGCACTCAGAGCGTGTATTTGTATTACCCACATTTATTTTTTTGTACTTCACGGGTGCGTACACTCCCCCAGGATCCGCCACTTATGCTTTGATTGATGCTAGCTCTCACGGATGTCCCCCAAACTTCCGGCGTTGCCGGCTCGGAAAGTGTTTCCGGCGGATGGTTTCCGGTCCACACCGGAAATCGATTTATGTTTACGTTGAATTGACCACGCCGATGCGCCGCACAGTGGATCCACCCAATACGAGAGGTCGAACAAAATTTGGAAACTTCAAAAGCTTAAAACACCGTTTATACACAATTTTGAGGTTCTAGAAGGGGTTTCATTGGTTTCTCCGTAAAATTTTCTTCAAGAAGCACCCCTCAAATTTTAAAACATGGATAAATAAACATAAAAATGTGCAGTTTTCGTCAAAAACGTCATGTTCGACCTCTACTTAACTCGATCCACTGCGCGCCTCGAGATTCCCTCCTGGATATTTTATCGTTACACCGAGGAGAGAAATCGATTTATTTTTACGTTCAATTAACCACACCGATGCGCCACCTATTGGATCGAGCCAATAGGAGAGGTCAAAAAGAAATTTGAAATTTTAAAAGCTTCTAAACACCGTTTATACAAAATGTTGAGGTTCTAAAAGTTTTTCCGTTGGTTTCCTCGTATTTTCACTTACGAGCACTTCTTGAAATTTTACATGTGATGAAATGAACATAAAAATTTGCAGTTTTAGTGAAAAATTTCGAGTCCGACCCCTCGAATTGACCCGATCCACTGCACTTCCCTTGTTTTTTCCGTGTGTGGCTCCTTGCAACTCATGCTAAAATGGGGTAAACCGCACAATTTTGTATTTATGTACAGCTGAGCCTCTGCAGTTTATAGTCATGGTGACTTTTCTCTGCACGTGGAATATCATACTGACACAGCTAGTAAACACTGCCAATAAAACATTTTTTTTTTTAAGAAACACGATGATACCACCGCTCATATTCAAATTTAATCCGCAGTATGATAGAAGGAGCTCAAGATGACGGTCGAAATACTTCAGCATTGAATAATAAACAATTTCACACATCGTCACCTACCGGCCAAAGTATCACGAGCGCCATGCGACTTTTAAAAATTCCCGCCCCCATTTCATGTTTACAAAGAAATTTTTTGTTCAAAAATTTCACTGAATTTTTTTTTTTTGCTTTTTTTTGCTGCCGATGAAGTTCAGTGAAATTTTCAAACAGATTCAACCAACAATTGCTCTTTGAAACAATAAAATGGCGGCAGAAATTTTTAGATATTTTTTTCGCATGGCGCTTGTGACACTTCGGTCGGAAGGTGACGACAAAGTGTCAAAATGAAAAGACCAGAGATGACCACATATCGAGTTGAAAAGCCTCCATTAAAAAATGAGTTATAAATTCACATCACAAATTACCCTTTTAATGCTCTGTATTAGTAAGTCTCTGTATAATTAAATGACCTTCGACATATTTTCGCTAAAAATTAGTAGAAACTAGGTGTTAATCACTTTTTTGTTTGTTTTATTGGTAAATCCCATTGGTATCAATATCTTTATAGATTTCTCATCGTATTCTTATGGGTATAATTCAGTTAATGAGTGTATTCTGAAGAAAGTACGTTTTCAATTCCCAATCCCTCTAAATTTGCCGTGGCTTCATCTGGGCCCATCTCAAAATTTCGAAAGATTACTTTCAGAGAAAGGATATCTTTGGTAATAAAACAGTGCTAGCCGCTTCTAAATTTGATAAATACCAAGGCAAATTTTGTAATTTATGAAATTTTTCGGTCAAAATCAATCAGACCCAGTTTTACCTCACATTAATGATAATGGCCGGGTATACCATAGTAATCAATGGAATAGAACATTCTAGTAAAAGGGCATGAAATGATACGGAACAAGAATTTTCTTGGGACTACTGATTTATTAATTTTCCCGTCAATGAACAGAAACCATAAACCATTCGTCGGGGCGCTGTTACCCATTCAGGTATACCTGAGCTTAGTAGCATGGTGGTGGGTAAACGGGCTCGGCGCAAGGTGCAGGGGGGCAGACCTCTTCAACGATGACTGCAGCAGGGGCTTCCTTTTCGTAGAAAGCGGGGGCGGCGTACTCGTCGACAACAACCGGTTTCTGGGAGTAGACGTTGAGGGCGGCGGACTGCTTGTGCTTGATGATGTAGGGCTTGCCGAAGTAGTTGATCTCGTAGGGGACGGATTCGTGTTCGATCACTCCAGGTTTCTGGGGTCCGATGATAGCGGGGGAGGGAAGCACGGACTTGATGACGACGGGTTTTATCTCCGGTAGGGGCGGCTTCGGGCAGGACACCTTGGAGTAGACGGGCACCGGGTTGGCGGCGGCGAGGTTGAGGACGGCCAGGGCGGCGACGACAGCGACGAAAGCCATTTTGGAGATGAGATGGTGTTGCTGCTTGAAGAGGTAGCGGTGAATGATGCTGTACCGGATGGAAAGCTCGGTTTTTATAGGGGAGCCGGAATTTTGGAAGTGTGCGTCAAGGTAAAAATTGTTTGTTTTCCGGATTAGAAAGAGCGGGGTCGATGGTGCCGATGAGATGTCCTTTGGAAGATGCGATTGTCTTGGATCGTTTTGATTTGCAAGTGTATTTTGTGCGTTAGCGTCGGCTTTGAACAAGGAAAACAGGTGGAAATCGCGGAATCATCTCGAAAAGTTGATTCAGAGCGGTTATCGTGTCAAGAACCTCGAAAAGACACAGTTCACAATCGAGAAAAGTTTGAGCCATCGAGAAAAATTTCATGGACTTCACTTTCTGACAAAGCACCACTTTCTGTGCCTCGTTTTAGGAACAGTAGGTGCACTGAAAAAAAGTTACGGGCTATATAAACAAACTGTCCGTTCCGGGCTCTAAAACCGAAAGTTCCGGGTGCTGGAGCCGCAGCTTCGATTGCTCCGGACGCTACGCCCGGAACTTTTGGTCTCTGAGCCCGAAATGCGAACGGTATGTCTTTACAGTCCGTCAGTACGGCTTCCACGACCGGAGTTTTTTTTCAGTGTGCGACTCTAGCTTTTCAATGCAGATTAGTGTTTTTAAGGAATGTTAGCCACTCATTGCAAAATGCAGTCCATGTGTACTCTTTATTACTAAGTTGAATTTGAGCAAAGGAATTTGGCTAATTTTTAAGCAAAATCAAAAGCTCAATATTGATTTTTTGCAAATCCTCCTGTGACTGATAGTATCCATGTTTCGTAGCTGGATTCAACGATGACGAAAATAATCTTTGCTCTTGCAATGCTCATGATCGATTCCAGAACCATTTTAATTTACTACAGTCGTAGTTGCAATATTACTCTCGTGGTAGCAATGAGCAAAATCCGAAAGTTCATACGGCGTTTTTCGTCAGCACGGCAGTATTGTAGTACACGGAAAGAAATTAAATGTCGCTTTAGCATTTATACTGTTAAAAAGATATCCGACAAGTTTCAAATGCTGATTTTACATTTTAACAAATGCTAACATAACTACGCCCACTGCAATACGTACAAATTAAAATGTTATGTTAGCATTTTTGTATTGTAAAATCAGCATTTGAAACTTGTCGGACATCTTTTAACAGTATACATGCTTTTTCAACATTTAATTTTTTTCTTGTATCATTCTTGAGCCGGGAAGTTTAAAAGAGAGCTCATTTCTTACGGCAATTATGAAGTTAGTGTATTTGAGACTTTCGTGCTGCACTCATCGTGATTTTGGAGGAATTTTGCATACGTAACAACTCTTCTTTTCGCTCTAGCGGAAGTTCGCAACAGGCCCATTCATTTTCGAGTTGAGTATAGTTTTTGACCTGAGTGGACCTTGGTCCTTGGTTTCATGAGTCACACGCGGGTTCATTGCGAACGGAACAGCGAGTCACCCGTCACCGGACGACTCCGATGACGTTGAGTGATAAAGTCCTAACTTTTCTGCTTAGCAGCATAGGTTGCATTCTTCAACCCCACCTGTGCGCAAGTGTCTCGTATCGCGAGCTATGCACTTTGTCAGATTGGACTATTATTTTGATCGATTTTTCGAAGAAAAGATTCGAGAATGCGGGAAAGCTCTGGGAATCTTGCAACGTAGTTATGTTGAGCCGCGAACGGATTGCGCGTGCATCTGCAGTTTGCCGGTGAGTTGCCAACTGTGCGGTGTAATACGATGTATTTCCCAAGTATCGCGTTTTTTACCGCACTGCGTGCAATTTAAGATGCTTCCATAGTAATTTAGAAAGCGATTCGATTGTCCATCGATCAATTGATATTTTCTGCACTGGAAAAAAAAAAACACATTGGATCTAGAGTCCAGACTGTTAAAAACATCGACAAGAAAAAAGACTCTTGATTCAATCAGATTTAAGCTTAAATCAAGAACCAAGCCACTTAATTTGAGCGGATTTCCTTTTGATTTAAGCTTAAATCTGATTGAATCAAGAGTCTTTTTTCTTGTCAATGTTTTCGAGAGTCTGGACTCTAGATCCAATGTGTTTTTTTTTCCAGTGTGGATTTTTCCTTTTTTTCTTTTTCTTTAGATGAAATAAAAATATCTCCGAACGTCACATCACGCTAAAGTGCGTCAGGTGGTTCCGCACAACAATCGACTGAAACACTTGTTGAAATCAGTGGCGAGGCATGAATGATCGATTATCGTTATTTCCCCATTTGAAGCTATGGTAAAGAATTGATTATTGGGGTGTTCGTTGCTGACACCCTGTTTATCGATCTTTTTCCATAGGTTTAAATGGCGGATCAATCAATATATCGCAAAGCACGCCACACCAATGATTGAAATAACTCCAGTAGAACGTCTCGAGATGAGATAAATTGCAAACTGGTTCATGTTAAATAAACATTCCGTGAACTTTCATGAAATATTTCAAAGAAATGTCTAATCGTTCGTAAGTTTCTTCTGTTTTATGGCACCGCTGAGTAGCCGGGATGCTTCCTTCACGTCAATGCTGCCGTGCTAAGGAAGAACGCCGTATGAACTTCCGGATGTTGCCAGATTTCTTTCGATAAAAATTAATTTACTGGAAAAATTTTGAATTTTCATCATCAAATTTTTCAGATAATTTCATTCGCCTTTTATTCTAAAATACCTGAAACTTCCAAGAATAAATATGAAGAACTTTCCTCAGAAATACATGTTTTATCCGAGGAAATTTGGCAACTTTCGAATGTTCATACGACCTTTTTCCTTAAAGGCAAAATCCTCCATTTTTTCTAAATCACAAAACTGCCACTTGAACCCTTCATCCTATGTGCGAAATTCTGAATTTCAAGATAGACCCTATACTGCACTCGCTCCAGCGTTCCCGTATTGCAAGTATGTGCGGAATTCATTTCCATATCAAGGGAATACAAGCTCCAATTTAAGTCAATTTGTCCCGAGTCAAGTACCCTCGATACGCAAGAGCAGAGTCTTTTGATAAAGTTGTCCGCCATCTACGTCCATCAGTGCCTTCTGGAGAGGCCAAATGAAACTCCTAATTGCTGAGTGATAGCATATTCTCATATTTTATTCTGTCCTCTTTAAGAATCAAATCACACGACTAGCAACAAAGTTTTTTACTCAGGAAGAACGCCGTATGAACATTCGAGAATTACCAAATTTTCTTCAATAAAATGTTTATTTTTGAGGAAAGTTCTGCATATTATTCCTTGGAATTTTCAGGAACTTTAGATGAAATAGCAAACGGCATTATTTGAAAAATTGGAAGGAAAATATCCATAAGTTTACCAGAAAATTCGTGTTTTATCAATCAAAATTTGGCAACGCTTGAAGGTTTATACGGCGTTTTTCCTTAGCATAGTAGTACTGATACGGAGCGTAGCGTCACCACCCGTAGCGTCGCGTCAATATTTTTTCAATGGACAGTAGACGACCAGATGACATCTCGATCAGGTGCTGATCTGATTCGAATCCGTCTCGTCGTCGCGTTGCCGCAACACAAACGGTGCGCGCGAGTCAGTAAATCATAGAGCTCAATCCATCAAATGGTCCATTAAATCAATAAATCCATCATGTCACCTGTTATACCCAGCGGATGCTGCTCGCCGAGAATACAGATTGATTTCTGCCACGTACTGCACTCACTATGATGGTAATTTCTCCTGTAATCTTACTTCCGAGGATGCTAGAACTTCGGGGCTGTGTCAGTAATCGTTGTTTGGGTTTTTTTCTTGGAGTCCTTACGCCAAATAAGTTTAATCACAGATGTGAATAAGAAGGCTGAAACATAGGGATGAATTCCGGTCGGCCGCACGGTGGATCGAGTCAACTGGAGAGGTCAGACACAATTCGGAAACTTTAAGAGCTTTTAATGCCTAGAATTTCGAGGCTCTAAAAGTTGTTTGATTGGTTTCCTTGTGAAGTTTTCTTCCATGAGCGCCTGTACTGCCGTGTGAAGGAAAAACGTCGTATGAGCCTTCGGGCGTTGCCAAATTTCCCTTTGGCAAATCACTAATTTTCGGGGAAACTTTTGCATGTTTGTCTACCGATTTCTTAGATAATTTTGTTCGTTGTTTGATCTAAAACGTCTGAAAATTTCAAGGAAAAATAATCAGAATTTTCTTCAAAAATAAACATTTTATCGAAGGAAATTTGGCAACTTTCGAGTGTTCATACGGCGTTCTTCCTTAGCACGGCAGTGCACTACTATTCACCAAATTTGTACTTGACTTAACGACGATTCATACTAATTTTTGGCTTTTCTGCGTAACACATTAAAGTTTTTTCTTCTTCTTCGTCTTCTTCTTCTTTTGATTCATACTAAAAACATTGAATGAAGATGCGTCGCATTTACAAACGAGAGTAACGTAAGTGTCACGAAATTGAAGTCAACGCCTTGATGCAACTATTCGTGCTCGAGGGATGTCATTGTTACATATGCTATCAATTGAAGGCGTTTTGTTTATTCTGGCCCTCGCGGCAAAGGACATTTTGGCTTTTGCCACGTGCGGAGATTTAACGGGATATGCTGCAGTTCCAGCGCAACAGCATATTCCACTTCTTCAGATTGAACATGTCAAACTTAATATGCAACAATCGATTATTTTCGGTGCACCCTCCCCTCCGACAATCGATTTATTTTCATGGGTTTAAACGTAGAAAAAACAATATTGATTTATGATCGGTGCGCATCGTCCCGGAATTTGTATTATAAATGCGGTGAATATGACTGCATTATATTCAAACACCAAGCTCACAACACCTAGAGTCCCTTTATAGAGAGAGTTAAGACAACGCGGCCTATGGATGTCACAAACGGGAATGAAGAATACACAAATCGGACGTTTTTCGCGTAATCTTTGATCAACCCATTCCCATTGTTTCCGTTTCCTCTCTCATTTCATTTGTTCCCTGCCGTACCCTCAATTCCCCGGTCCATTCCAGTTTATAATCTTTGCAATGGAGAATTTGCATGCAAACATTTTATCGCTTCATCTGAAAAACTGAAAGAGCTCATTTCACAGGATTTTTTATATTTTTTTTTCTGATATAAGAAATGGTACAAAAATAGATTTAAAAGTGAGAAAATGCACCGCCTAGTGACGTCATCTGACGGCATTTCCCATTTAAACACACTTATTCTTGCAGATTAGATCATTTTGTCACATCTTCACCAATAATTGTTCAATGGGCCTGTTGCATGCAAGAGATACAGCCGCGCGAATAGACTTTTGAGAGGTTAAATGACACGAAAATTACGATGGTCACATTAAAAAAGTCTGAAATACACTCTTTACTGCGCAATTAGCGTTGTTAGGAACGTGCTTTTTCAAATTTCCCGCGTCTGGGGGCAGTTTTCTAATCATCGGAAACGAGCAAACGGCGGGCTTCGGTGATTTCCGGAAGATGCCGAGTCGTTGTTGTTGTTGTTATTTTTTCCTTCAGTTTGTTTCCAACCCAACGTGATCTCTCATAGTGGTCCATATACGCGTTATGCGGTAACCAAATCGATCAACTTTTCAATATCCAACGCAATCCTTTACATTTCATTTCACGATATCACGAGCTCCGATTTTTAGGTTATGTTGTCAGTTTTAGTTGACCGGAAATAGCCGTGAGTTACCGTTAATTGTTTCCGTTAGAAAACTGCCCCCAGACGCGGGAAATTTGAAAAAGCGCGTTCCAAATAATGCAAATTGCGCAGTAAGGAGTGTATTTCAAACTTTTTTAATGTGACCATCGTAATTTTCGTGTCATTAGACCTCTAAAAAGTCTATTCGCACGGCTGTATCTCTTGCATGCAACAGGCCCATTCATGAACCAAAGGGATCCTCGTGTTCAGTTCACTCAGTAGTTTCCTCTTAAACACGAAATTCATCAAATTTCAGACACCTGAAAATTCTCTACTCCCCGGTCCTTTCTAGTTTATAATCTTTTCAATTGATGAAAATTTAATCTTTATTCCCGTTTGTGACACTGTGAAGACCCAAAATACGGGAACCAATCAGAAATGGATCCGTATTGTCTTTACTCTCAGTAAAAAGGGACTCTAAAAACACCGATATAGACTGATCAATACTCAGCCTGGTGAATCGCCTTATTTCGGCTTCTAGTTCACAGCATCGAGTCTAATTCAAATTCAAGAAAACTTCCGAGCACACACCAATATAAATCTCATCAATATAAAGCTCCTCGCAGGTGCCCCAACTCTCAGCGAACCAAGTTCCGAATACCTGTCATGTCTTCGCACCTTTGTTGTAACTCGTCAAGCTTAACTCGATCGCTCCGGAATTTTAAAGCACGAAGCCTTTTGGACGTCACCCCGAGTTCGAAAGAGGCCGAGGCTTCACAGCTTTTCACGGCGCGAGAAAAAGTTCGAGGGAAGACGGAAGAGATTCGTTGGATTGTCAGTCGATCTCTCCGGTGGGAAGTTGCCAGATTGTGTGAAAGACCCTGGATATTTTACGTTTGGGGTCCGTTCAAGTATTACGTAAGGCAGTTGGGGGGGGGGGGGGG